TATTCAAATTGATTCATCATGAATAAGTCATAGGGCATAAAAGTCACTTCTGTTGGGACATCTTTATTATTATCCTTAAGTAGTTGTACAAAGGGATTTCACTGGAATAGGTCAGTTTAGAAGTACAATGTATCTTAACCAGTGTCATCTCTTCCATCATTCTCCTTCATAGTCCTTGACTTCACTCATCCCCTTCAAGTTGCCTAGTTCATTTTTACACATGTACATATATGTACATTGAAGATGATGGTTTTACCCACCCCTCCTGCCCTAGTCCTCTCCCATCAATAACATGTGTTCCAGCTTCCTGGTATTCTTTTAGTTAAACTGCAAGTTCATTGTTCATAGGAGTTATGCAATTGGACTCTTACCCTGTATATACCAGGATTCCTCCCCTGTGTATACCATATTTTGGTAAATTTATTTGTGTATATCTGAATATGGTCCTATATAGTCTTTCATATATGTTTAGATCTTTAAAGGGATATCTAAAAAGCAACTACGATCTTCTTAAGAGTTATGAGATATCTTAGTAAGATACCCTAAGAAGGTACTTAGAGTATGATTAATGCTCATCACAATACTTTTACTATATATATATATTCCACTCTCTCTGTCTTCTGCTCTCTCCACCCACCTGCAGAGAGATTCATGGTGACTAATCCATTCAGTGTGGGCTTTTCCATTTAGTAGAGAAGTACAAGGTAGCATCTTCAAGAGTAGTAGAGGATTTTTGTTTCCCCAGATATTCTTTTCTCAGGGTCCCCAGTTAAAATGAGTTTGCACAGACTCCTGCCTGCAAAGGTAATTATCTCCTCATTCATGCCTGTCAAAGATGGCTTTGTTCACCCATAGAGTGATGATTGGAAGTGTCAATATCCTGTAGGACCTGGGCTGGTCTGGGAGGGAAGGAGATTTGTATCTCCATGGTTTTGATCTATGCTGGCATAATTTCTCACTGGGCATGGCTTCTCGCATGTAAATGCAAATTCATGCTACCAGTCAGTTTTTAAAAAACATACAATTTTATTGTTATTATTATGTTGTACAGAGGGGTTACCATTTTATAATTCAGGCAATGAGTACATTTCTCTTTTGGACAATGTTACCCCTTCCTTGGTTTTTCTCCTGTCCCTCCTCCCATCCTTACCCACAAGTTGCATAGTTAATTTTCCATAGAGTGTATATTGAATACCATGATTGTCACCCTTCCTCTCCACCCAAAAAAGACAGAAAAGAAAAAAAAGCATACACCACTACCACCACCATAAATAATCCATTTCCTGGAATTCGATTCCAGGCACTTTTTATGAACTATTTCTTCTTTCTCTGCAGGTCTAGTCTATTCTTTTTTCAATTTAATTTTATGATAATTTTTAATTTACAAAAATATATACATATACATATATTATAATCAGAGATACAATTGCTAAGATCTCCAGAGGAAAGTTTAATAATTCCTATCACCTCCACCCTTCTCTGTCCATCTCTGATATTGTAGCAAGTGTTAAAACTTCATGGATAACAGTAACTTTGTATATCTTTTTACCATCTCTCTATCTCTGTCTTTGTCTCTCTCATACACAGATACACACACAGGTCTAGGAGTCAGAATTGACTGCCAGGATGGAGTGAGTCTTCATTATTAGGGTGAGAGTATGATAAGCAAACCCTGTTACTTTTTTCCTGCTTCCAGGGATTTCAGGCTCTTGCATTGATGTTTTTTTTTCTGAGCTTCTCCAGTCCTGAGGGCATATTACTTTAAAGATACAAAAATAGAGCAAGGAAGGCTGCTTCCTGAGGCCTCAGTCCCAGAGGTTCTCACTAGACTTGGGCTGGCAGGCTATACCAACTCACCAGGAATTAGCACTTAAGCACTAAACAAAATAACCCATTCTATTGTTAGAGACATAGGAAAATATTAAGAACTTGTATTTGTGACCAGAGGCCTGGAAATTGCTATGTTGAATTAGCTAAGCAGTGCCAGTCCAACCTGAATCAGCCCAGTGCCCTGTGAGAGGTAGAAGCAATAAGCAAGGGTCATGAGAAAATCCCTGAAGGTGGCCTCCAGGCTAAAATACATGGTAGACAGGCACTGGCAGGTATGCTCTCTGCTTATGGGGAAAGTGACTAATTTGGTTTTGGCTTTGCATTCCCATTGGTTGGAAAGCCAACTAGAGCACTTTAGTGTCTAGGGGCTAAATGTCTTAGTTATGAACTAACAGTGACATAAAAATGCCTTGCAGCTGGAGCTGCATAGAGAGATCCTTGTTGCCTGATGCCCTTTGTTGTGCATTTTGCTGACTTGGGGAGAGCTCCTCAGAGAACAGAATGCTTTTGGTGGTTCTCAACGGTAGTGGGAAAAGCTACAGGATACATAGGCCAAAGGACCCTGAAGCTCCACCTTTTGTCCCAGTTTACCTAATAGAGGATGTTAGAATTTGCACTCTATTTTTGACTACATTTAACTTTTCATTCTTTAAGTACATGGGCCTTTTTTTCTTTCTAGTGTATTTATCTAGTTAGTATTTTCTTGTTTTGTCTTTTAAACTTATGAGATTTAGTCTTTCATATTTTATATGATTTATTCTTAGTATTTATTCTATTTTATCCTACTACCTTGACAATAGTGTACTTGTGTTTTTGGTTTGCTCCCTTGGCTAACTTTATTTCTACATAATACTTCATTTGGCTTTGATCATGGTGATATTAGGAGTCAGTGGTACCACAAATTGGAGGATTGTGATTAGGCCTTTGGCCAACTACAGAAAGATAATGTTTTCCTTGAAAGGGCATTTTAATTAACCTAAATGATTCACTTGTTCAAAGCTGGATTTCCTTTCACTGAAATCTTTACTAATAAGTAGAACCTAGGAAAATAACATCTATAATGACCAATGACATATCTGAACTACTAGAACTTTCTGCAGCATCTCGTCTGCTGGCTGGGAGGGGTGTGGTGGGAAGTAATGGGGAGGAGGCTGAGAAGGGAATTCACAGGGTCTTGGGAGGCCAGTTTGGGGGACTCCTACAGTCACATCCGGCATTTAGTGGATGTACATGCAAAGCTATGTATTTATCATTAAGGCTGGCAAGTGAATTCTTAATCAAACAATGAAAACCAAAGGGGTTAGCCAGCATAAGGGATTGTATGGAGTAAGAGTCCTGCACCACTATATGTAGAATTATCAAGACCATCTAGGTGAGGCCTTTGGGTAATCCTGGTTATCTGTATCCTGGGCAACATAGTCCTTTGACGTGCCCAGATACTTGAGTGGAAATCAGATTCCCTCTTGTGGATAAAGGGATAGGAAATGGTCCTCAGCCAGCAGAGGAAGTTTGTTTGTTTTGGTTGTTGGTCGTCGTGGGGCTTGAACTTTGGGCCTGGGCGTTGTCCCTGAGCTCTTCAGCTCAAGGTGAGAGCTCTACTACTTGAGCCACAATGCCACTTCCGATTTTCTAGTGGTTAATTGGAGATAAGAGTCTCAAGGACTGTCCTGCCCATGCTGACTTTGAACTGGGAACCTCAGCTCTCAGCATCCTGAGTAGTTAGGATTACAGGTGTGAGCCACTGGTGCCTGGCCAGAGGAAATTTTTTGTTGCTGGGTCTTCACATGCTTGTGAGGTTTGATGTGAAGAGAAGCTGTAAAACAGCCTAGAAGTTGATTGAAGCTGAAGATGGATGAACAGGGCTTCTGTAAACCAGATTAACCAGGTTGCTGACAGTTTTGGTTGTTGTTTCCCTTGAGTTCTCCCAAGACCTTAGTAAAGTAACATACCACTTAAATGCATTGGCTGTGATTTAGGTGTGCTATTGAAGCTGTGTTTCTAAGTAAGTCTGTAGATATATTCTTGGGGAATGAGTGTTCCATGAGAATCTTCAAATTTTGTCTTTTAGTTTTCAAGATAATTTTAAAGAAATAAAATCGAAATGTTCTACCTCAGGGCTAAAAGACATCTGGTGCCAATTAAAGAACAAATAATGTTATGGCATGCATGCTGTGGGAATAGATTTTACAGTAAGCTTGAGCAGAGAAAGATGATGAAGACATTGGTTAAGTTTCAAAGGTACCACAAGTATCTTCAATTCAAATGATTGTCTGTCACAGGGGGGGCATACTGTGTTTGAGAGCAGAGTTCTTGGGAAAGGCACCAATTTAGACTCATGTTCAATAGCAGGGAAAAGCAAGAACTGCATTGCTTTTTTAAAAAAATTTTTCAGGCAGGGAGCCTGTGGTTCATTCCTATAATCCTACTCAGCAAACTGAGGTTTTAGGGTTGCCGTTCAAAGCCAGTCCAGGTAAATCCCAGAAACTCTTATATCCAATTAACCGGCACAAAGCCAGAAGTGGAGGTGTGGCTCAGGTGGTAGAGCACTAGCTTTGAGCACAAAAGCTCAGGGACGGAGTCCAAGCCCTGTGATGAACGTTAAAAAAGAAAAGTGACTTGCCAAAAAAAATATGTACACTCGTGTGTGACCTACGAGTTCAGAGTTTTAATCCCAATACAAGATTGCTCTAGGCCGTGGAATCAACAGATCTCCTGTCTCCAGGGTGTTTGGGCGTGTAAGAGACCCACTGATCTGCCGCGCACCGGGGCCTCGTGGTCCCCACGCTCCACGGTGTCCAGCCTCGTCTTGTTCGTGCGGTGTCCCCCGCCGGGACCATGCGTCTTCCATTTCTGCCTGCCCCAGGTGCTCCCTCTCCTCCCCACAGCGACGTGGGGAGGCCCCGGTGCTGAGACCCCTGTGGGCCCCGGGCGGAACCAGCACCACCAGCCGGGAACAACCCGGGTAGGTTTTGCTTTAGAGGCGGCCACCCGGTGGGCCACGCGCGACCGGAAGGGAAAGGTCTCCGGAGACCAGGACCTGAGCCAGGGGGAGGGGCCCAGGGCCCCCGCCCGACTTCCGGCGCGCCCTGCCGCGCGAGGGCGGAGGCGTGCGCGCAAAGAGGGCGTGGCTTCCATTCCGCGCGGGAAAGGGGCCGGCGACGCCTGCGCGAGCTCAGTTGGGAGGCGTGTGCACACAGTCCGCTCCGGGGCGGCATGGCGGCGGCGGCAGCTGGGAGCGGGACGCCCCGGGAGGAGGAGGGATCCGGAGGGGAGTCAGCGGCCTCACAGCCCCAACCCCCAGCGAATGCGCCCGGGGCTCGTCTTTCCAGGCTGCCCCTGGCGCGAGTGAAGGCCTTGGTGAAGGCGGACCCCGACGTGACGCTAGCGGGCCAGGAAGCCATCTTCATTCTGGCGCGAGCTGCGGTGCGGCGGGAACGCGAGGGCACTCGGGGTCGCGCGGGTGGGAGGGGCGTGCTCAGGGGGTGGGGCCTGCGCAGGGGGCGGGGCGTGCGCAGGGGCGGGACCCAGAGCGTCGGGGGGCGAGGCCAGGAGGGAAAGGCGGGAAGAAGGATTTCGGACGGCCTGGGAGGTCTAGATCCTGAGTGGTCAAGATCTTGGGGGGATCTGGATTTGGGGATCTAGTGAATAAGTGATTTGCAACTAATTGGGGAGGGATGTGTCAGATCTGACCTCCGGGGAAGGGACAGCTGGAGGACCTTCAGGAAATCCTGAGCAACCTTAGCTTTCAAAACCTCTCTCTGTGCCCGACCCTCCCTTCGACCTTCACCACCCCACCCCTCGAAGGGGATCTTACCCCAACTCAGTGAGCCGGAACTCCACCTTGATCTTGCCCCTGCTTGTTTGCTTCACAGGAGCTGTTTGTGGAGACCATCGCGAAAGATGCCTATTGCTGTGCTCAACAGGGAAAGAGGAAAACCCTCCAGAGGAGAGATTTGGGTAGAGTGGCATTGTGGCAACTGGGAATAGACAAAAGGGACACCAAGGGTTCTGCATTTGTTCTTTGAGAATGCATCACTGAGGATTTGATGTCTGACTTTTGGGTGGCCGGTAACCCCTTGTACATGTGTAAGCCTACATACTGTGTATCTCACTCTCCCCACTTCTCTCCCTTCCCCCCACCTCCCGCCTTTTTATTTTGTTAGTGGTGGCTTGAACTGTTGCTCAAGGGCAGAACTCTTAACATTTTGAGCCACAGCTCCACTTCCAATTTTCTGGTGATTACTTGGAGACAGAGTCTCCGGGACTTTTCCTGCCCTGGCTGGCTTTGAACCGCCATCCTCAGATCTCAGCCTCCTGAGTAGTTAGAATTACAGGAGTGAGCCACCCGTTCCTGGTTCACATTCCCTTTTTGTTGCCAAACTTTTCTGATATCTGTCAGAGCAAAGAGAATAAATGAATTTAAGTGTAAAACTGGATTGTAGGAGGGCTTCCTCTCCCCACTTCTCTACTCCCCATTGAACAGTTATTTGGGCTTTTCTTTTGTAGAGGTAGCTAGCTCATATGTAAGTTAGTCATGGAATAAAAAGTGGATATAAAGGAGACATATTTTCAGAAATGACCTAATTTGCATAAATCCTCAGCTCTTACCTGGATTGTGTTTTTGGGTGTGGAGAGGCTGAAGAGCAAATGACCAGCCTGGTTCAAATGCCCCTTTGTTTGTATGTTTCAGATAATGCTATAGAAGCTGTGGATGAATTTGCCTTTTTGGAAGGTGAGTTTTCTATTAGTGGATAATCATTTACACCTGTCTTTTTGATGCTAAGGAAAGGAGTTGTCTTTATGAAATAGATGCCTGTTTCCCTTTGTAGAGAAATAATTCCTTCTCTCTTCTTCCTATTAGGAGAGGAGAAAAACCTTATTACTAAATCTAGTGTAATTCATTTTTCACACCTGGAGAATTAGAACTTCTACCGGAAAGTTGGAAAGTAACCATCAAGAGGAGAGAGAGGATTTGAAAAACATTAGTGGAGTTACAGAGATTCAACTTACACCTGTGTAGGTTGATATCTCTAAATATAAAAACTCCCCCCTCCCCCAATACAATGTTAGAAATCAGAAACAATTAAAAACCTTTAAAGGTTTTCTCTTTTTTTCCTTCAGTAGTGTATGTAAAGTGATTATTATGCTGCAGGGAAATTCTGTACTAACAAGTTTCTCTTGGTTCTTCAGAAGTTTGAATTAACTTGATCACTAACTAAATCTGGTCATAGAAATAAATAGCAAATATTTGAAATACCACATTTTAACTACCTTCTCTCAAAGCAATTTCTGCTGCTTAATTCCTTAATCTTCCTGTTGAAGACATATGTTCTGATTGAATACCTTTCTGAAAATCATGTGTCTTCAATTCATTCTCACTTTTCCACCTACAGGATTTCTCATTACCGCTCTAAACTTCATTGCCTTTTAAAGTCCTTTCTTGATTTATTTCATTCAGTACATTCCTCTGCTCTGCATCTTCAAATCCACCTAGACCTGTGGTACTTTTAGTTTTTAAATGTCTTTTTTTGTTGTTGTTGGTTGTGGGGCTTGAACTCTGGGCGCTGTCTCTCAGCTCTTCAGCTCGGCTAGTGCTCTACCACTTGCGCCACAGTGCCACTTCTGGCTTTTTCTGTTTATGTGGTGCTGAGGAATTGAACCCAGGGCCTCATGCATGTGAGGCAAGCACTCTACCACTGAGCCACTTTCCAGCCCTTTTTAAACGTCTTTGAAGATGCATTCCCATGGTTTTCAAACTCAGATTATTGAGTATTCTTTCAATTTTTAGCTATGTGGTTAGCTTCTCTTTACACCTATTCATAATCTGAGTTAATTGTCTACTTTGTTTTATTAGCCCAGTGTAAGTCTTAGCAGTGTTTTGTGTATACTTTAAGACAAAGGCTATTTTGTAGATAGATACAGTATCAAGTTTTGTTAGTTATATACAAATTTGATACTCTTATGCATTATTTGGGATTCAGTCTCTATATTTATAAGTTAACTATTATTTCTAGTAGTGTTAAGTGTCTCCAAGGCAAAATGCCTTAACGTCTATTTTCTCTAATGTTGCCAGAGTTTACCAGCTTTAGTGTTTCTTTTTTTTTTTTTTATTTTATTTTATTGTAAAGGTGCTGTACAGAGGGGTTACAGTTACATGAATAAGGTCTTGAGTACATTTCTTGTCAAGCATTGTTACCCCCTCCTTTCTTTTTCTAGCTTTAGTGTTTTTGTGGTACCTGTTTTCATTGTTTTGTTTTTATGTTTTCATATCTTTTGAAAATGGAATATAACTTTTTTTTCAATTCAGATACTCAGTGCTTTTAACTGGAGCATTTAATTTATTAATGTTAAATGTCTTTGGGGCATCCATGGGTTTGCATCACCCTCCTTATTTTATCCTTGCTAATCATTCTACCTGTTATTTTTTTTTAATCTCTACTTTCTGCCTTCTTTTGAATTAACATTCCTTTACCCCCTTCTACTAGTTATATTCTTTTTCTGTCCCTTTAGTGGCTAACCTATTGGTTATAACATGCTACTGTAATTTATCAAAGCTTAATGATAGAACTTTTTTCTGTATTTTGAACCTTATTTATTCCCTTTTAAGATTTTGTCTTTAGCTAAATGGTACATGCCTATAGTGTAAATAGAAGCTGAAGCAGAAGACCCAAAGTATGAGGTCAGCCTGGGTTGAGTTTGAATCCAGTTGGATTACATAGTAAAACTCTTATCAAAAACAGAATCCAAACAAACTGCACCCCTCTCCCTCAAAACCAGTTTTTTTCTCTTTGTGTTCAATTTTCTTTTTTTTTTTAATTTTTTTTTTTTTTGGTCCAGTCGTGGGGCCTGAACTCTGGGCCTGGGCGCTGTCCCTCAGCTCTTCAGCTCAAGGCTAGCGCTCTACCACTTGAGCCACAGTGCCACTTCCAGCTTTTTTCTTTTTGCTTATGTGGTGCTGAGGAATTGAACCCAGGGCCTCAGGCATGCAAGGCAAGCGCTCTTCCCAGCCCCTGTGTTCAATTTTCTATAGGTCTCATTCTAATATATAAAAGTGTGGATTTCTTTTTATGTAGTTAGCACTTGAGCTTCTTCAGAATACCTGAAGATATATTCAGATACTGCTGTATTTTGTTCTCCTTTCTCTCGAAGGTTCCTGTTGAAGTATCTAAAATGTCAACCTTAATTTTGCCTCTCCATGATATATTCTATATCATTTTTTCTGACCTTAGTTTATTCTCTTTTCATTTCTTTCTTTCTTTTTTTTTTTTTTGCCAGTCCTGGCGCTTGAATTCAGGGCTTGGGCTGCCCCTTAGCTTCTTTTTGCTCAAGGCTAGCACTCTACCACTTGAGCCATAGTGCCACTCCCAGCTTTTTCTAATTATGTGGTACTGAGGAATTGAACCCAGGGCTTCATGCATGCTCGGCAAGCACTCTAGCATTGTCATGTTCCCAGCTCCCATTTCTTTCATTTCTTTACACCTTTTTTGTTAATTTTTAGTTTTAGTTTTTATATTTTCCAGTGAAATTCTATGAACTGTGAATTTTATTTGACTCTTTTGGCAGTGCTGGGTTAGGAAGTCAGCTATATGCTTGCTTGGCAAATTCTCTACCACTTGAACTATGCCCCTAGCTTTTTTTGCTTCAATTAAAAAAAATACAGAGGGTCAAAATTTTGCCCAAGTTGACCTTAGATAGCTGGAATTTCTGGCATGTATGACCATACCCATCTATCTATCTATCTATCTATCTTTCTTTCTTTCTTTCTTTCTTTCTTTTTCTTTCTTTCTTTCCTTCTTTCTTTCTTGTCAGTACCAGGGTTTGAACTCAGAACCTTACTTTTGCTTGCCTTGCTTGCTTGCTTGGTGCTGTACAGCTTGAGTTATGCCACCAGTCTAGTTTTTTGCCAATTATTTTCGAGGTAGAATCTCATGGACTCTTCTGCTCTGGTTGGCAAAACTTGATATTCCAGGTCTCAGCTTCTTGAACAATGAGGATTGAAATCTTGAGTTTGAGGACATGCAAATTTCTGGTCTCAGTCCCATCTTAAACTGGGACTTTCTAAAAAGATTGATTAAAAGCCCTTTTCTTTGAGCACATTTCTTATTTATTTTGTTTTACTCAACTCTTGTTTGTTCACCATGAATGTTAAGTAGTTAACACAATAACTTCTCTCCTGCCTCTGATTCGTATACCCTTGGTTATTTTACCTAATTTGTTACTCCCCATCTTTTGTAATAACATGTTTTTCTCTGGGATCTTTTGGATAGATATTCTGAAGACTAAAGTGCTGCCAGTACCAACACTTCTGCTTTGTTAACTTTGCCCAGTTTGTTACAGTAATGTAGCTCTCAGAGCACCTGATTTACACATTGCACTTTGTATTTGTAGGTACTTTGGATTGATTGCTGAGCTGGGCAGTTTTTTGAGCCTTCACTTCATTCTTCAGCTCATCCCTTTCTGCAGGCCTCAGCTCTGAAGAACAGAGTCTGCATAGCTATACAGTGTTCTGTTCTATGTTTATCTAACCTGGGATAAGCAGAGATCTCAGCGGATAGCTTTCTCCACAAGGTCTTCCAGTACTTGTGTCTGTCTTCCACTTCAGGCCTGGATGCAGCATGGGGTAGAGATGAAGAAACTGTTTTGTTAAGTGTCCTAATGAATGATGAAGACCAGAATAAAGGTCTTTGATCAAATTCATTCTGCTGTGTTTGATATTTTGCTTTTGTTCTTGCACTGTGATCAGAGAGCCATTATTCCCAGGCATAGACTTTTACTAATTATGGTAAATTCAGTGCCATGCCTCTAGACCAGGCTTGTCAGCCATTCTTATCAGTTATTACATTAATTTTGTTCTCTTTTCTAGCATGTCACTAGAATGTGGTCTACAATTTATGGGATATTATTCTTAGGAATTCAAATAATTGTACTCTTAGGTTGAAAAGCAGTTACAATTTTATTCTAACAGTTTTATTGAGGTATAACTCAAAAGTCACATGACCCACTAATTTCAGGTGTACAGTTTGCATGGTGGTGCAAGCCTGTAATCTCACCACTCAGGTAGCCGAGGCAGGAGGATAGTAAGTTTAACTCCAGCTTTGGCTGCATATGAAGTTCTAGATTAGGCTAGGCTACCTAGTGTAATCCTATCTTGGAAACAAAAGTCAGAACAAATGAAGTGTGCAATTTAGTTTGTGTATATGTGTGTAGTGTGTATCACAGATATGTGTAACTATTGTCATAATGAGTAACATTTTACAATGGAATAAGAATGACATATATAATATGCTGCCTTTTGTGTCTGGCTTTTAATAACCTTTGTTTATCCATTCTATAGCATATACTAGTACCCTTTTTATAATTTAACTTTTTAAATTAAAATTATCATTTAAATGCATAAATATAAAATTTTCTGTTTTAACTTCTTTTCTTCAGCACTAAGGTTTAAACTCAAGGCTTTGTGCTTTCTAAATGGGTTATCTCCCACTATTTTAGCTAATTTTAAGTGTATAACTGGCAGTAAGTATATTTACATGTATACGGTCTGACTCCAGAATGTTTTTAACCTTCTCATACTGGAGTTTGATATACCCTAAACAGTAATTTCTCTTCCTAGTCTAGGCTATTTTTTTTTGTTTGTTTATTTGGAAGTGTGGATAACAGGAAGTGATGGTTAAGGAAGCACTGGGAAGTTTTGCAGCAGGAAACCTTAGTAGTTCTTCATTATTTTTGGATTGTGAATCACTGTTGATACTCCACAGGATCTACTGTCTAGAATAATGCAGTGACACAGGAAGCCTTAGAGAGTAGTTCTTCATTATTTTTGGATTGTGAATCACTGTTGAGACTCCACAGGCTCTACTGTCTAGAATAATGCAGTGACACTGTGTCTTGTAACATTTCAGTGTAGTACCATATTAATGGAAATTTATAAAGAGGTCTTTTTGTTTCTTTGCTGTAATAGGATTTGAACTGAGGACCATACACTAGTAGGCGAGTGCTCTACCACTTGAGCCATATTCCATTCTCTTTTGCCTTGTAGTTTATTTTTTGGATAGGGTCTTGTGCTTTTGTCTGGGTTAACCTCAGACCTCAATTTCTACCTCTGCTTCTAGTCTAGCTGGGATTATAGATGTGTGTCATACACATGGTTCTCAGGTCTTCTGTATACTCCTTAGTAGCAACATTGCTGACATCTTAACATTCCCAGGTACATTTGTCAAGACTTAGAAACTGACCTTTATAGGTTACTATTAACAGCTCTAGCTTCCTTTGATTTTACTGATTTTCCCATTGTTAATTTTTATGTGCCAAGATCCAGTCCAAGATTATTAACTGCATTTACTTTTCATGTTTCCCTAGTTTCTGGATTTTGACAGTTTCTTTTCTTTGATTTATTATCTTGATAGCCTTGACTAATACTGGCCACCTATTGTGTAGACTGGTTTGTCTGTTTTTCTTGTGATTAGTTAGCTCCTTAACTTTGCATATAATAAGTGTTACACAGACCCTGAGAATTCTTTCCTAGAACTCTTTCATATTACTGAAAATGGAGATTTGAAAGGGCAGGCTGGCCTTTTTTGAGATAAACTGAAATTATAGATTGCAGACCAATAGTGGGACATAAATTGATGTAGTGTGTTTCCATTAGCATTTAAAAAGATAACCAAGTGACTATTGTTAATAACCAACAGACTATTGTCTGTTGTATTCATGAAATGTAGGATGTTAGATGCTCTTGCTCTTGCCAAGAAATATGTAAGGTAATGCATTTGAAAATTATCTGGCTTTAACTATCTCATGATATGTGTGTGTGTGCGCACACACACACACACACACACACACACACACATATATATTTCCAGTAAAATTTTAAATTTTGTTTCATTTGCATGTGTGCTAAGTCATTGTCTAATGTGCCTCTTACCTGATGTCATTCCTAGGGCAAAAAAAGGTGTTGCCAATATAATTAAGGTTTCTAATCAGTTGACTTTAAAATAGATTATCCTGAGCTGGATGGTAGTGGCTTATGCCTTTAATCCTAGCTACTGAGGAGGCTGAGATCTGAGGATTGTGGTTCAAAGCCAGCCTGGGCAGGAAAACTCTGTGAGACTCTTCATCTCCCTGTGAGACTCTTTATCTCCAATTAGCCACAAAATGTCATAAGTGAAACTGTGGCTCAAGAGTAGAGGGCTAGCCTTGAGCAAAGAGTTCAAGGGCAGCACCGAGGTCCTGAGTCCAAGATCCCTTACCAGCACACACAAACACATACACAGAATTATCCTAGAATAGCTAGGCAGTCTCCAAGTAATGATATGGTCCCCTAAACCGGAAGTTTCTCCTAGCTGGAGGTTGAAGAGAATGTGAGCACAGAAAGAGTTTTATTTTATTTTTTTAAAGTTTATTGTTATAAAAGTCATATACAGAGGGATTTCAATTACATGAGTCAGGTAATGAGTACATTTCCTTTTGTACAGTGTCTTCTGTTCCCTCACTCCCGGTCCTGTCTCCACCCACAAGCTGCATAATTCACTTTTATCAGTGCCCTGTGAGCTCCACTGCTGCACTTCAGCCTTTTTCCTTCAGATTCTGTACCTTCCCCTTTGCCCTCCCGAAGATACGTACTTGAATACACCATACATAAAGAAAAGGCAGAACTATCAAAAACTAAAAAAATTAAAAACTAAAAGATACCTTGTTTTCTTTTCTTGGAGTTTGTTTCAATATATATGATTTTAGGTAAATACAATGAGGCATTGCACTTTTGTATTTCTTTCCTAAGAGTATCCTCTTGGACTCACTGTGTGTATCTAGAATCCTGTATAATTTATCATATCAGTATATTTTAGATTTCCTTTCTGCGTATCAGAGAGAACATGAGCCATTTGTCTCTCTTAATTTGGCTTACCTCACTTAAAAGGATTTATTCCAATTCTATCCATTTTCCCTAAAATGACATTATTTTATTCTTTCTAATGGCTGTGTAAAATTCCATTGTGTATAGATACCACATTTTTTGGATTCATCTATTGTGGGGCATCTGGGTTGTTTCCATTTCTTGGCTATTGTGACTAGCATGGCAATGTACATGGATGGGGGGATGTGTGGGGATGTGTTTATTATATCTGGGCTCATGATGCTTGCCCAGGAGTGGTATGGCTGTTTTATAGGGAAGATCTATATTTAGTTTTTTGAGGCACCTCATGACTGCTGTCCATAATTGTACTAGTTTATGTTTCCACCAACAGTGCAGTAGGGTTCCTTTTTCCCCACACCTCCACTAACATTTGTTGTTCTAATTTACAATGTTGACCAATCTAACAAGGGTGAGATGGAATCTCAGTTGTTTTGATTTGCATTTCCTTTCTGGCCAGGGATGATGAGCATTTCCTCATGTGTTCCTTTGCCATTCTTATCTCTTCTGAGAAGTCTTTCCTTAGCTCCTTTGCCCATTTAGTGATTGGTTTATTAGGGTTGGAAGGGGTTAGTTTCTTGAGCTCCTTGTAGATATTGGATATTAGGCCTTTGTCTGATATACTTCTGGTAAAGATCTTTTCCTAGTTTATTGGCTGTCTTTCTAGTTTAGTAACTATGTCCTTAGCTGTGCAGAAATTTTTTATTTTGAGGTAGTCCCACTTGTCAAGTCTTTCTCCTATTTGTTGTGCCCCTGGGACTTTTTTCAAGAGGTTTCTACCTATATCTGTAAGTTCTAATGTTTCTCCCCCTCTTTCTTGCAGTAGTTTCAAAGTTTTGGGTCTTTGATCCACTTTGAAGTGAGATTAGTGCATGGTGACAAACAGATTCACTTTCTCTGCATTTGGATGCCTAGTTTTCCCAACACCAATTATTGAAGAGACGATTTCTCCTCCTCCTCCCACTCTATGTCTTTGCTCCCTTACAAATATTAGATAACTGGGTCTTCTAATCTATTCCATTGATCTTTGGGTCCATTTTTTGTGCCAATACAAAGATGTTTTTGTTATTATAGCTCTGTAGTAGAGCTGGAGGTTTGGTAGTGTGATACAACTCACATTACTTTTTTTGCCTAGAATTGCTTTGGCTATTCTATTTCTTTTGTTGTCCCATATGAAATTTTGGATTGCTTTATCTCGGTAAAAATTATTGGGATTTTGATGGGGATTGCAATGAATTTGCATATTAGTTTTGGCTGTATAGCTATTTTTATTTTATTTAATTAATTAATTTATTTTTTTTAGGTCCAGTCGTGGGACCTGAACTCTGGGCCTAGGCGCTGTCCCTCAGCTTTTCAGCTCAAGGCTAGCGCTCTACCACTTGAGCCACCTTCCCAGCCCCATTTTTATAATATTGATTCCACCTATCCATGAACATAGAAGGTCTTTCCATTATCTGGCCTCTTTGATTTCTTTAGATTTTATAGTTTTCACTATAAAGATCTTTTACATATTTGGTTAGGTTTATTCATAGTATTTTATTCTTTTTTTTTTTTTTTTTTTTAGGCTCCTGCAAATAGAGTTGTTTTCCTGATTTCCCTTTCTGCTTGTACATTGTTGGCATTCAGAAAGGCTAATCTTTTTTGTGGGTTAATTTTATGTTCTGCTACTTTGCCAAAGCAATTTATCACCTCTAGGATTTTGGGGATGGAGTCTTTTGGGTCTTTAGGTATAAGATCATGTCCTCTGCAAACAGGGATTGTTTGATTTCTTCTTTTTCTATGTTAATCCCTTTTATGTCCTATTTTTGCCTGATTGCTCTAGCTAGGAATTCCAGGACTATATTGAGGAGGAGTAGAGAAAGTGGGCATCCTTGCTCCTGATTTTAAAATGATTTGTTTTTCCCTTCAGTATGATATTGGTTGTTAGTCTGTCATATATAACCTTTATTATTTTAAGTAATGTTCCTTCTATTCCTAACTTCTCCAAAGCTTTTAACATGAATGGATGTTGTATTTTATTGAAGGCTTTTTCTGCATCTGTTGAGATGATCATGGTTCTTTGTCTTTGGCTCTGTTGAGGTGGTGAATTACATTTATTGATTTGTGTATGTTAAACCAACCTTGCATCTGTGGGATGAAGCCTACTTGGTCAGATTTTTAAAATTCATTCTGGATATAAAAAGTATTTTTTAGCCCGACGCCCATCGCTCATGCCTGTAATCCTACTCAGGAGGCTGAGATCTCAGGATTGTGGTTTGAAGCCAGCCCAAGCAGGAATGTCTGTGAGACTCTTATCTCCAATAAACCACCAGAAAACTGGAAGTGGTGTTGTGGTTCAAGTGGTAGAGTGCTAGCCTTGAGCTGAAGAGCTCAGGAACAGTACCCAAATCCAGAGTTCAAGCCCCATAACCACCACCAACAACAAAAAAAGTATTTTTTTTCTGTTACTGGCTTTGATGATGTAGGAGGCCATGAACTAAAAACAGACTTTAGAAGCCACTTTAGAAATTTCCTTAGCCTCGGGCTGGGAAGGTGGCTCAGTGGTAGAGTGCTTGCCTTGCATGCATGAGGCCCTGGGTTTGATTCCTCAGCACCACATAAGCAGAAAAAGCTGGAAGTGGTGCTGTGGCTCAAGTGGTAAGAGTGTTAGCCTTGAGCTGAAGAGCTGAGGGACAGCGCCCAGGCCCAGAGTTCAGCCCCCACAACTGACAAGAAAAGAAAAGAAAAGAAAATAAATATCCTTAGCCTCACAATTGCTCCAAACTTGATTCTGCTAGTCAGTTGGTCTTGGAAATGATTTTCCTGTAGAGCTTTCAGATGAGAAAGAGCCCAGGTCAGCTAACCTCTTCACTTTGGTCTCATGTGTCTCTAAAGAGAAAAATCTAAATTTTATATACCAGACTTTGGATTCACAGAACTGTGAGACAGTAAACGAATGTTCAAATGCAAATGTAGTAATTTATTATGGCCACAATAGAAAACTTAGATGGTATATTTTTTACTGAGTGTTAAGGGAAAATCATTGTAAAATCCTAGATAGGGGCGAGGAGGCATCAACTCTTATCCTGTTACTCCAATTACCTCTGAGGACACATGCATCATTTGTCCTAAGCTTTCTTTTAGAGTTGAGTGAGTTAAAGTTTCTTCCATATAGCATATTCTTTCAATGAGATTTTTTTTTTCTGGAAAATTCACCCCTTTCAGTGTGTAGTTCTTGAGGCTTTGTTTTTGTGCTGGTCCTGGGGCTTGAACTCAGAGTTTGGGCACTGATCCTGAGCTTTTGTGCTAGTCTAGTACTCAACCATTTGATCCACAGCTCTACTTGTAGCTTTTTGGTGGTTAATTGGAGATTAATTGGGTTTCATGGGTTTTCCTGCCTCGAGTAGCTGTGAACCACTATCTCAGATCTCAGCCTCCCGAATAGCTAGTATTACAGGTATGAGTCACCAGCATTTGGCTAGCTCTGAGTTTTATTAAATGCATGTAATCATCTTTGCAATCATTGATAGCTACAAAAATTCCCTCATGCATGTTTTTGTAGTCAACCCTTGCCACAGCCCTAGCCCAGAAACCACTCATCTATTTGTCCCAGTACTTTCCTCCAGAATGTCATGTAAAATTTTGAATATGACTTCTTTAATTTAGAATAATACATTTGAATTTCATTATTTTATTATATGGGATGTATGTACAATAATCCATCCATCCTTAAACAATGGATATTTATTTCTGGATTTTGGTGACTATAAATGTTAACTATATATATATGAATATATAAAATATATAAAAATCTGACCCAACCGGCTCCGAGCCAGCCAGCGTTATACCCCTGCCAGCGTCCTTGCAGGAGCCACCAGGCCTCCAGCCTCTTACTCAAGATGAGTGGTAAACCAGACATGTCCGAAGTGGAGAAATTTGACCAATCAAAATTGAAGAAAACGAATACTGAGGAAAAAAAAACCCTTCCCTCAAAGGAAACTATCCAGCAGGAGAAGGAGTGTATCCAAACATCCTAAAATGGGGATGTTTGAGCAAGCGGCAACACCACCTGGGAGGCTTGTTTCTATAAACCTATGTGTAGCGATTTAAGGCACCTGCAGATGGTTTACCCCAGTTTCCTGACTAAGAGTCAGCAATAGCAAGTTCCCTTAAATTTGTTTTGAAACTGAAAAAATTCCAGACAGCAGATGCACATCACAGTAATCTCACCATTGATGACCCTTGTGTATAACAGAGCAAGACCGCTTTAATCTAGTAGGTGTCTTCATTGCTTCATACTCATTAAAAAGTTGAATGCCTTTGCAGCTTCTTGATTTTCATTTCAATTATAACATTAAAATAATACATATAAAATCTATAAATAAAAACATTACAATTTTTGTGTGAACATTGTTTCTCTTAGGTAAACATAGATGTTAGTTGAATCTTACTGTTAAAAATATACTTAAGGCTGGTAAGGTGACTCAGTGGTAGAGTGCTTGTCTTGCATGCATGAGGCCCTGGGTTCGATTCCTGAGTACCACATAAGCAGAAAAACAGAAGTGTTGCTGTGGCTCAAGTGGTAGAGTACTAGCCTTGAGCTGAAGAGCTGAGGGACAGTGCCCAGACCCAGAGTTCAGGCCCCACGACTGACAAAAATAGTAATATATATATATATATATATATATATATATATATATATATATACACACACACATACATACACACATATATATATATATATATACACACACATACATACACACATATATATATATATATATATATACTTAATTTATAAAGGACATACCCTATTGTTTTTCAAAATAGCAGTACTATATTTCACTATTTGAGAATGCCAGTTATTTCTTCTTTATCAGCACTTAGTATTAACTTTGAAAATTAAACAAATGAGCCAGTGTATGGCTAATGGCATCTTGGTGTGATTATATGCATATACTTTCTTCTAGTCCTACAACACACACACACACACACACACACATTTAAATCCTGTGAATAATTTTTAGCTGCATTTAGCTCTGTTAGTGGGCTGACTCAAATGAGGGAACTTCCAGAGGATTCCTTACTTTTTTACATTTCCTTTTAAGTCTGTGGAAAAGCAGGACTTCCTTTGTGGTCAGCCATTCCTAGACAGCTGACCTGCCTCCAGGTCTGAAACTTCTGAATAATAGCTGGAAGGGGAGGATTGGAGAAAAGTGCAATAGAGTACAATATGTACAGTGTATATATATATATATATCCATAGTGAAACCCCTTCACACAACTAACGAACTAAAAAAATGAATGACAGAAATTTTACAGAAATATTACAGGTTTTCTTTGGTGATGGACAAAAGGAGAGGGTGAAGGACCTATGATTGAAGTACTTTATATACATATATGAACAGAGACCAATGAGACCTGTTGAAATTGTTATATGAGGGGAGAAGTAGAGATAAGGGAGAGTGGCAGAGGTGGTGAAGTTGAACAGGATACATTTTATGCACATATGGAAATACCATAATGAAGTCCCTTATATAACTAATATATGCTAATCAAAGAGAACAAAACAAAACTCAATGCCTGGTAGACAGTGAGAATGCATACTATTGTTTAGAAGGACTTTTAATAAGTCTCTTCTCTCTAATGCCTGACTTAAAATATGACCAGTTCCTTCCTACTAAGTTACGTCAATGAGCAAAGTATATTACTTCAGTAATGAAATAAGTAATAGGGCAGATTGCAATGTCATCAACTTCACGAAGTGGTGAATAAGGAATAGCAGAACAATTGAAAGTGGCTTCTCAAATATTTGTATTGTAACAGAAAGTTAATCACACGTTACTCTTTCTTCCTTCCTTCCTTCCTTCCTTTCTTTCTTTCTTCCTTCCTTCCTTCCTTCCTTCCTTCCTTCCTTTCCTTTTCTCTCTCCCCCTCCCTTTCTCCCTCCCTCCCTTCCTTCCTCTCTTCTTTTTTTGCCAGTCCTGGGGCTTGAATTCAGGGATTTTAGCCTCTCTTTGCTCAAGGCTAGCACTCTACCACTTGAGCCACAGTACCACTTCTGGCTTTTTCTGTCTATGTGGTACTAAGGAATTGAACCCAGGGCTTCATGCATGCTAGGCAAGCACTCTACCACTAAGCCACATTCCCAGCCCTCTTTTTCTTTTTCTTTTCTCTTCTGTGGCCTTCAGCAATGCTTACTGAGCACTATGGATTCTTGTTCTGAATGTGGGTCATCTATGGTATTAAAAACTTCAAATAAGAAAATGAGGGCTATTTCGAACACCCATAAGGGAATACTTTAAGTGAAAATATGTCTGCACATCAGACATTGAGCTTGGCTAATGAGCATTCATTTCTGAGAAAAAGGTTCATTTTGATATGCTAACAATTCCAGGTTTCTTAGCCTGAAACGTATTTGCTAAGATTATTCAAGCTACCATGAAGAGCTTCTTTGGAAACAGCTGGAGAGGTCTTTACCAAAGACAGAAATCATGTCCCATGTGCTCCCCATTTCCTTATAGAGCAAATATCACCAATAAAGAGCGACATGCTTTTACAAAGACATCTGTGCTGGTTGGCTCATGCTGTTTTCCAGACAAGCTGATAATGAACACATCTCTACCTTGTTAGGGTAGATAAATAGAGACTGAAGAGAAAGCTGAAGCGCAGCCACAGTTGTCCTCATCTCTGGGATGTCACATCCAAGTGTCATGAAGCAGAGATGAACATTCAGCTTAATTAAATCTACAAGCTTTTAATTAAATTACTCATTTAATTTAAATAAAGTAAAAGCAGTGAATTCTCAAAAGACTCAATATATCTTTTTTTTAGTATATATTAATTGTATAAAGAGGTTTCCTTGGGGGTATTTCCACACAGGTATATAATGTACTTTGATTAAACTTACCCCCTCTTTATTTTCTTATCCCTCCTCAACCCTTTAATATTTTTACATGAACTTCTATTTCTTTCATACATTCATATAAAGTACTACAATTATATTCAGGCAACAATAACCCTTTCTTCCCACCTTCTGGTGATTCTCCCTCTCCCCTCCCCCTCCTCTTCCCCCCCCCCCCCCCCCCCCCCCCCGCCACAAACATTCCCTCTTTTACACTGATGTCATTTGTTTTTAAGGTCTATATTCCATATATGAACAGAGAACATGTGATGTTTGTCTTTTATAGTCTGGCTTATTTCTTACTTATTACTTTTTCTTACGTGTTACTGGCTTATTACTTACTATGATGATCTACTGTTCCCGCTATAAACATCATAATTTAATTCTTTATGGCTGAGTAAAACACCATTGTGTATATATGCCATATTTTCTTTATCAGTTCATTGATTGATGGATACTTAGGGTGATTCTGTAGTTTGGCTCTTGTGATTAGTAGCTTAATAAACATGGGTATATATATATATATATACATGCATATGTATATATATATGCATATACATGTGTACATATATATATATACACAGATGTTATGATGACTTAGACTTCTTAAGATATGTGTATGCCTAAAAGTGGTATAGTACAGTCATATGGTAGTTCTATTCTTAGATTTTTTGGGTGTATTTGTTTATTTTTTAAAGGACTCTCCATACTGATTTCCACCGTGGCTGAACCAGTTTGCATAACTACTAATAGTGAATGAGTTCCTGTTTCCTACACATCCTTATCAACATTTCTTGTTTTCTTGATGATAATAATTCTGACCAGAATGAGATAGTTTTGATTTGTATTTCTTTTGTAGCAAATGGTGATGAATATTTCTTCACAAATTTATTTGACATTTATTCTTTTCATTTTGATAACTTCAACTTATTCACCTGTTAATTGTTTAAATCTTGATCCATTTGCTTATTCTGGGAGTTAGCCCCTTGTTTCATGAATAGCTGACAAAGATATCCTTATAGATTGACTATTATAGGAAATGTTTCATGTAGAAGCTTTTTAATTTGATACAATCACACTTGTCAATTATGTTCTTATTTCCTGAGCAGTTGCAGTCCTATTCAGAAATTGGACTATGGGTGGGCCTATGCCTAATGCGTTTCTCAGCTCTAAGAGTTTTTTTGGTGGAATATTTGGGATTGTTTAAATATAGGATCATTTCATCTGCAAATAGGGATGGTTTGGCTTTATTTCTTCCTTTTATCCTTTTATTTATTTCTCTTGCTTTACTGCTAGAAGAATTCAAGTACTGCCAGGCACATTAATGAATTTTGCCAATAACCTGAATTTGAGCTTTGGAAGCAGATCATCTCCACAGTATCCAGAAAGGAAGCATATAGCCAATATCTCTATTTATCCTTGTATGATTCTAAGCAGGAACAGGCAGGTAATGGCTCTACTTGAGACCTGAAGTAACTGGGCTGACAAACTTCAGTTGTTTTAAGTCATTACATTTCTGGCAATCCATTGCCTCAAGAGAAAGCTAGCATTGCTGTGGTTACAGGTTTCATTCTCCGTTACATGTTGGAGTCCCTGTTTTCTAGACCCTTTAATGTCTTACTGGAGCATCTTCTATAGTGGTTCTCAAATACATTGTGTCAGGATAATGATACCCTTATAAATTACTGAGGATTCCAAAGAACTTTTATTGATATCATTACATCTATCCATATTAATTGATTCACTTCAAAATTACAACAATAAAATATTATCAAATATTAACCTAAGCAACATCTTTTGTGGAAAACACAGTTTTTATGTGTTTACAAATCTCTTTAATATCTGACTTACTAGAGGACATGTAGATGCTCAGACTTCTTTTGATGATCATGCTAGTTGGATGTATAGGAAAATCTACCTTCCCCAGATTGTTTCTCTGTATCTAGAGGTTTCTCTGGGTCTGTGACAAAATCACTCCTCACCACTACACAAAGCCACTTCTACTTCCTGAGGCATGTGTTTATGCTTCTTCTATTCCTTCTATTTGGAATTTTGGTTTATACTTTTTTCCCTTGGTGCCAGTACTGGAGCTTGAACTCAGAGCCTGGGCACTGTCTCTGAGCATTTTAGTACAAACTTGGCACTCTCTACTTGAGCCATAGATCCACTTCCAG